AACTCTCGCGCAGCCAGGGCGGCCGTTTCGACCAATGATGCCATCCTGAATCCACAACAATCGGGGAGGGGGGGGGAAGGCTGCCCTTACTGCGCTCCAAATCACGCCCCACCGCATGTTTGCAGGGATCATGGCTATACAAGTGGAAAGATGAGCTACCACTCAGTCTTTTCTTTTTTCTTACTTCATGTCGAAGAGGATTTTCAAGTCTCCTCGATTAGCTAGATATTCATGCGAATGGCAGATTTATATCAGTTTCTTTCAGTTCTCGATATCCACCCGTGTCGGAGGCGAAATTGAAACAGATGAAACGTCTCGTTGGCACGCGCCGAGCAATTCCGTCAATGTTCAACTGGATATCGGGCATACCGGTAATTGTCGTCTCTGTCGTTCTTGGAATGTTACTGCAGGTGAGATTCCGCCTGCTCAAGGGTAGTTGAAGCCCACGCTTTTTTCCCAGTGTTCAGTCCTTTCTTCCCTGCTTGATATTTTTCTGCATGTATGCATGCTACCGTGCAAGCGTTAATACCCTTCCTCCTGAAGAGTTATTTCTCGTGGATCGTGCCGGTAAAATCATGCACACACTGGGCTTGCCTCACAAGTATAGATCTCAACAGCCGAATCGACGAAGTATGCCACGTGACGTGGATTTTGGAGCGGCGCCAGTTCATTTTCCACCAATCACTGCTTACCCTCATCTCGGAACGGACTGCTGGAAAAAGAGCTGGCGGCGCACCAAAATCCACGTCGAGCTGACACGCCCTGTCGGGTCAGTAACCGAACCGGCAGGGCGTTCTTCCTAGTCTATTCGCCCTTGTTCTTCCAAGTCTATTATTAAAACGAAGGCAGGCATTGCAGTAATCATTACCTCTCCCTGGCTCGAAAACTATAGCCCACGTAGGATGCTTGAAGAGCGTAATGCGCCATTGTGATGAATCTGCTTCATATGAACCGGCATAGGAAAAGAAAAAAAAGAGAAGGAAAAGAAGACGTGTTTGATCATCGTGTTGTTAACTTGTCCTAGCTTTGTCATTAGAACTTTTTATTGTCCTGGATGATGTCAATTGTTCGTCCTCTTTTTCATCAGTTCCTCCATAATATCCGAGGATGAGGGAGAGCACCTGGCTGCGTATTTCGTTGCGATGGCGTAGAACGCGTTTTTTCCGGGATATTTCCCTTTGGAGGCGGAGGTGGTGTAGTGACAAGTGGCGCGCTTACCACTCGCGCGGCGCCGGGTTCGAATCCCGGGTCGACACCCGCCCAGGCCAACCAAGCCTTCTACCCTCCGGGGACGGTAAATTGGTACCAGATTCGTCTGGGAGGATAAAACACTGACTTGTACATCGGCTGGCCACCGCAAGTCATTGTATAGGCCACATCGCATTCAATAAGCCACTACGATTCTGAATGGAAGTAGAATGCGTGCCGCATCCCACAAAGGGATTGATCAACGGCGAAGACTTATCCTTTTTTTATTTCCCTTTGAGAGGAGTCATCCTGCTTTGTGCTGGTGAGAGATACGAGTACAGGGCGTTCCTTCCTAGTCTATTCGCCCTTGTTCTTCCAAGTCTTCTAGAATGGAAAGATCCCTCTAGAAACTTTTTTGTGTAGACTACGCAGCCACGCCCTCCACATTTCCAGGATACGAGTATACTCACCGAATCCGCTGACAGGGTGGTGCAGGGACGTAGTCTAATCTTGCCACCGATTACCCCTCCACCCTCACAACTACTTTATTGCCCCACAGATTACTGCGCTTTCTGACATGTCTACTTGTCGATTTCGACCTCATGAGCAGGTTCGGTGGACGGCAGCGCCGTTCGGCTTGGTGGGGGCACCAAATGTTACATAACATAGCTAGTTCACGTCACCTTGAGAAGACCTGTAAATTCTTATATTCAAAGTGGCTCAGTTATATCATTTAGTAGCTTTGTAGATTTACAGGCCTTACCAATGTGTAACCTGTTGATTAACATGGAGTATCGAAAAAACTATCGAAGTGCAAACGCCCCTCCCAAGCCGAACAGCGCCGTGAACGGCTTGAAAACCGCTGTGCCACTCTCAAAGTCATGCTGTAACATAGACCAACACTGCGTCCCAAAAGTATACTTCCACCCATAAATCTCACAATATCCCTCCCTACACGACGTTTTCAAAAAAAGCCTCTAGGTATAAAATGTGGTAATTACCAGTACCAATTTGCATGCCAACTCCGAGAACTGACTTTCCAGAGCAACTTCAACTTTCTTTATTTTTTGAAAATTTCTCACTCTGACAATGTCCCACAAGTATACTTCCACTAAACGAATCGATTCAGAAAACAACAAGTGTACAACAAATTTAATAAATCGTCATTTCAATAATCTATTGCAGCCCCATTCTTTCGAATAAGTTCGAAAATGCGGTTGTCCATGCTCGAATAGAGGTGGTCTATAAGTGTTTTGTCGACATGGTGCCATGCATCAATGATAGCCTCCTTGAGCGAACGGACATTTTCGAATCGCGCATTGTGCGCGTATATCCTGCGTACCATGAAGCCCCAAACATTCTCGATAGGGTTTAGGTCTGGGCTATTCGCTGGCCAGGGCAAAAGAGTGATTTGATGACGGCTGAACCACGCTCGAGTGCTCCGGCTGACATGGATTGGTGCATTGTCTTGCACGAATACAGGACTTTCATGCCGTATCCTTCGCCAGAAAGGTAACAGACCTCGTCGCATTACCTCTACGTAGTCGGAAGAGTTCATTTTCTTCGATACGAAGCACAGCTTCAAACGTCCCGTTGATGCGATCGCAGCCCAGACCATGACACCACCCCCTCTGAAGTTCCGCCTCGACGCTTCTTTCAGGATACGACGTTTATCTCGTTCAGACAGCAAAGGAGGACGCAGAACTCTTCCTGATTCCATATCCTGCGGGATCCCTGACAAAATGATTGATAACATAATCTGCGGCCCATCTTGCGATTTGACGGTTCGACAGTCCTTGAGCCTTCTTTGCGATAATCTGCCCCTTTTCGAAGTCAGACAGTGAAAGCCCTCTCGCCATAACCTGGAAAAGGTCAAAGGTAGTGATGATGAGAAAGTTTACCCGAAAAAAATGAGACGCAATGGGAAAATATGCGGTGGAAGTTTGTGGGACATTGTCAGAGTGAGAAATTTTCAAAAAATAAAGAAAGTTGAAGTTGCTCTGGAAAGTCAGTTCTCGGAGTTGGCATGCAAATTGGTACTGGTAATTACCACATTTTATACCTAGAGGCTTTTTTTGAAAACGTCGTGTAGGGAGGGATATTGTGAGATTTATGGGTGGAAGTATACTTTTGGGACGCAGTGTAGAAGCTTGTTGCTAATTTCAGGGACATGTTTCATAGCTATTTTCATTTCAGTACTTCTTTACGAAGAAACACTGAACACATGTGAGTTGTATCGTGTGTAGTTGCAGTGGAGCATGGCTATTTTCTATCCTTGTGTTCGTTTCGAAGCTGTAGGCACACGATTAGCCAAGCGGTGCGGTTCACGTGCAGTCATTTCTGATTCACGGAAATCGACAAGAGGGCAGATTTCTTGAATGTGAGTGTTTCCCCTCGCTGACCGACCGCATCGCTGGCATCTGTAAAGGTGTGAAACGGTTAAAGACGAACTGTGCACTCACCTCTGGATAATGGTCCTCGCCGTGTGTGGCAGCTGCAGTAGTTTGTCCCTTCCGCGCAAAATCACGGGAACAGGGCTGGTGTGGTGATGGGATGCGAGCAAGAGAACCGCAATTTGTCGCGCCATCGTGCGCGGCGCAACATCTGGCGAAGCGCGCAAATTTCGTTGTGGGCGTCACACAGCGATGGGCACAGGAAATGCAGACTGGGTGTCCGTTTCTCCATTCAAGCAGCGGAACTCGCGGGAACCGTTGGTCTTTTTTTTATTTTTTCCATATTTCTGCATATATTCCTCGTGTTTCTGGCAATTTCCTGCGCTGTCCGCTGCTGTCATAGCTGACGATATGGGGCATCAACAGCACCCTTTCCCATTCCTGTACTATTCGAATTTGAATGGCCAAGCAGGGGAACTCGTCTCTCGCGGCGCGGTGTCGCTCGCCGCACTTGCCAGGGCGGCAAATTGCGATTCTCTTGTCATATACTCGGTGGTGAGAGCCGGGTGCTGTCTCCACACTCCGCCCGCGCTGCCAGACGGCCAGCCAGGCGCCTAGCCACAGCCAAACGCGCTGTTTGTCTGCGCTCTCTCACTTCTGTTCGTTCTTTACCGCTGAGTACGCGTTTCGCGTTTCGCTGCAAGACCTTGGCATCGGCGCGTGTGCTGAGCTGTTAGGACAGCGCAGGTGGTAAACGGAGATAGCTCCCTATAGCACCATTCCCGTGCACTTTTGAGCAGAGAAAGTGGCACGTTACTCTGCTGCGGACTCGTTCGCTTCGCAAGGACCGTGTTCGGACATGAGTGTACAGTTTATCTGTAAGAGTACAGACCTGTCCCTCATACCTCCCTCCTCTGTCTCTTCTCCCTTGACTTTTACTTTATCGATTTCTTGTTTCAGAGGTACATGCGATTTATGCGATGATCAGCGGACTACTCGGACGGTTATCGATCGGTTCTTTGTTCATATCTGAAAACAACTTTCATATCTCTTTGATAACGTGGTTCATTAAGGCGCTAGTCCTGCTCTGTTGAGTTCATGAGCTAACGAAAAGACCATTTGGTCCTGATGGAAACCTCAATCATCACATTATCGATTTTCAATTTTTATTATTTTTGATCTTCAGCGAGCTTAATAAAACTTTTATTACTGGACTTTTGTTCTGTATGTGATTACTATCGATTGAAATAAAAATGAATGGGACCTTTGATGACAGGCTTACCTGATCGCAACTAGTCGAGGCGGTGTCAAAAGGGGCGAATTAAGCCCGCCTTTGGCTGCCCATAGGTGATCGGTTAGCAAGCAATTCAGGAGAAAAATAACAAGTGTTGAGAACGCCGAAGGTGGGCTTCATGCCTCTTGGGACCGCCCAGGCTGAGTGTAACTAGCTGTATTCTTCAACATGATATCCAACTGCCTTCGTTAGATGTAGCGAAAGGACTGGAGCATGGGTTAAATAATAGCATGACATAGAAAAAAGAATTTGTGTCATTGAATTTAAATTTCGCCTACGGAATCGCGCCAATACTTATCGGCCACCGTGCTTATCAATTGTTGAACCAAGAATCCTGTGAGTTCAGCGACATCCTGTAGTGCCCCGTATCAGTCATCATAACTGGTCATTACTTTTCGTCAGCAGCTACGTTTTTATCCCTGATTTTAGCTGGAGACTGTCCTCCTGCAGGTTTCTCCTCATGGGCATATCATGACTTTGTGGAAGTTTTCAAAGCTTAAAAGTCTCTCAGAGATCGAGGTACTTTTCGACCTATCCCATATTATGAGTTCCTGTAGGGCCACTC